GCACCAGCTTCAAGCGAATGGGATAGAGTCAGTTTTTGATATGTGCTTCAATCTGTTTACCTCACAGTTTGCGCACGCATAAGATGTCCTCATGACACTGCATCCACGTGATGCTGACGTTTTTCGACGAAACACCTGACAGAGTGACCAGCCTCGCTGCCTGTTTTCTCGCAGGAGCACACGCGAGGAGTAGTAAAACTTGTAGCGGCTAGTCGACGAAGAGAACAGGCTGCTGAAATCAAAGGCAAAGGAAAATAACTAAACCAGACCATGGCTGCATCTGCGAACGACGACGTGATTTCCGATGAGGCGTTGGAGAATATGCTGGAATCATTGGAGAAAACCGCAGATACAAACGATATCAATGAGTTACTCGGTAAGTACTACCTACAACCCCGATTGTCTACGATAATTGATTCGGCTTCAGCGGCGATGAATGAAAACGAAATCATCACCAGGGAGGAAGCAGAGAACATTCTACAGGGTAAGGAATTAAAGTAAATTATGATTGACAGTCAGACAATATGGTTTATAATGTTTATGATAACAGGCGATAGTAGCGTTGTCAAATGCGGCCTGCCTGAACACGTGCGACCGAGTGATCCTGAAAACAAGACAGATGTTGATGAGTGCATCTCAAAGCTAGAGCAGAACGATCCGACTCTCACTGAGATCAACCTCAACAATATGAAGGTAGACTATTTGATACTAACTTGATTATTCACTCTTCGTACTAATGCCTTTCAGCGAACTCCGATTCCTCATATTCGACGGTTGCTGACTGCAATAAAACAAAATACACACCTGACAACTCTAAACCTTGCGAACCTGGCCCTGACTGACAGCGCAATCGAGGTTCGTTATATCGGTGCAATGTGTGCGAAAGTCGAAGAATGATTTTAGCCTTTGCTTGATGCTTTGGAGACGAACACTAGTTTGAAATCGCTCAACATTGAGACGAACTACATCACAGGTGATATGTTAGCGAAACTGTTTCGAGCAGCTCTCAAAACTCAAACCCTTGAAATTGTAAAAGCTGTCAATCAAGTATCTTACAACTTAGCAGCCCATTTTTAATTTAATTAGAGACTCTTCCAGAGTCCAACTTTCAGCACCGAGGCTGAAATGGAAATCATGAAGTCCATCTGCGCCAATAATGCACTTGTAAAAGTAAGCATTGACCTGCGGCATCCAGAAGCAAGGAACAAAGTGGAACTGACAACTATTCGCAACGCTGACATGTGTAAGTCAGAGATTTGTTGTTGTCATCCTTATCGATAAGTAAACAGTACTTGAAGAGACGAGTGACAAAGATTATGAAATTTGACGTTTCAAAGTTTCCATCCCTTTTAGGTTGTAGCTTTCTCGAAACTGCCTTGTGAGTAGCCAGTACATAGCCCTAACGTGATCTATTGTTAGTATGAGAGTAATAACGTTAATTCATATGCGACGTTTTCGTCCAGAACACGGCGTTTAGTTTGTTTTCACGAGTTAATAATCACAGGCGCGTGCATTCATGTAAGTTATAGTAATGAAATACAACGTCTGAATTTCCTTCAGTAATTCTTTACCATTTTACAAATGAAGTCAGTTTGCTGTTCGTCGTTACTGTGAAGATGCAGTACAGCCCGATATGGATATCCCAAATTATCCTGATGGAAGGCGGGACAGTGAACCAAGGTTTTTGTTTTACATTAAACTTTACGACTACCATGTTTGAACCCCAATTGCGGCGCAATCTTTGCCTTATAAACTGCCAATTTCCTTGAGGAAGAAATTCACCTCACTGTGCTTAAGTGCATCCAGTTGAGTAACGAATTGACAGTCCGTTGACTTGCTAGCATCAGGGGCAGCGTTATGCTATGATGTAGTCAAACTAGAACCTACGAATCATAGCGCTATTTTATTTCATGCAAGAGCCTCTAAGGGCTCCAATTCTCTCCAATACCCTGATAGTTGAGGATAGTTGAGGATATAGTCCGATAATCAGCACTCGGTGTAAACTCTCAGGAGAATTTTTTATGCACATGGCCATGGTATCCGATTCCTTCGTTTATCAGTCCCCAATTCGCGCTGCCTGCCTGATACCTGAAAGAAAATAAGCCCAAGATACAAAAATTATATATTACAAAAAGTAAAACCACCACGGTCATGAAATTAGAGGCACGGTAATGGGCCCGCTCATGATTGAATAGATGCTGTCTACTACGTTCTTGCAGACTACGCTCCTTAATCGTCCTTTCGGACTGTCTGAGCAAGTGTCTAGCATTGTCCATCTCTACCATAATAAATCTGTTTTGAAATAAGAAATCTCGCCTCTATTAGCGTTTACTAAATATTAATTTAAATCTTCTGCTGTCTATTATTATTCATGGACAGAAAAATGATTTATAACACTCTCGACTTTATTGAAAATTTCACGTAAGAAATTGAGTTTCATCTTCATCTTCCATCACCGCTTCTCCTTTCGGGTCGCGCAGGCAGACGCGT